AAAATATATTTAAAGCTTTGTTCACTTTTTGAAAATCCGTAAAAAAGCAAGTATCAAGTTTACATATCTTTAAAAGAAATTTATTTACATGATATATAGTTAAATATGTAACAAAAATATTTTAAAACAGAGACATATATAAAACACATTTTTCTTAAAAAAACTAAGTTGAAGCCACCATTTACAGCACCGAGGAGCCAAGCATAGCCTATTGTAAAGAAAACCATATCAAATAATTTAAAATATTTATTACCGATAGGGACGACAATTAAACATATTTAGAAAGCTACGTGATTCCGTATTAGTAGGATTGTTATAGAAAAGTATATTAAAAAAGTATATTTAAAAAAAAAGTGTATTAAATAGAAAACAGATTTTTAAAAACTACCTAATTTTGTTTGCATTTTGCTTATGGTGTTCAATTTTGAAACCAATATTTTGAATTGGAAAGCCGTCTTGTTTAGCTAATCTCATTCAAAGAATAAAATTTAAGACACTTAAAGAAAAAGAAAAAATGAATGAGATATAAACAATCTTACTATAGTATTATATAGATAAGTAGATATGTATGAAAAAAAAACAACAACTGGAAAACAGTATACCTGCTATTGGTAACCTAATGTGATACTGCAGCAGTTGCTGTAGGGATGCAGCCGTTCTTTTTGGTGTTGTTCAAAAACGTAATTTTTATGTTAGCTTTTAGTAAATTTAAAAGACATCACAAGGGATTTAAAATACTCATAATAAAAAAAGAAAAACATAAAATGCTTCAAGGAGCCAAACTATAAACATAAAAGATGAAGAATGGAATCGAGATAAATAAATTGTATTTATATAGCTAAATATATTGCCTTGGGTTTTGGTAAATTTTAATAAGTTCAATAAATGAAACATACCAAATAATTGTTTTTAACAAAAAAATGCAGCAACATTATATTATGATAATTAGATAATGAATCTATTCAACTTTCGACTTTAGATTTTAGGGAGGGGTATTTATGAGGGCTTTAATTTTGAAGTCAGGTTTAATTGGTGAGAAAACAATTAAAATTTTCATTAAAAAAGATCAAAACAAATCAAATATACAACGTAATATATATTTAAAAAAAAAAATTACAAAATTAAAAAGAAAAACATCGAAACAAAAAATTACAAAGTTAAAAAAAAAAAAACCCAAAGAAAAAGCAGCAACTAAAAAGTCATAAATATCTCTACTGATAGAAGACATTTACAACCTTTTGGTTGCTGTTTTTTCTTCGGTGTCTCCCAACACCCCGGTATGGATGAGCCCTCCATTTAAAGGAGGGCTCATCCATTCCGCCATGATCTTTCGATTTTTTGAAGGACCTCTCTGAGAGAGGTCCCGGGTGTTGGGAGCGGTAATTTTTGTATTCTTCGAATGATAAGGAATATAAAGTTACAAATAGAAGAATATAATAAAAATTATACATTTGCAATTATTTAAAAAAAAATAGCATAAACTCACCATTTTCATTTGTAACAAAAGATGCTAAAAAAAAAAAAAAGAGAGAGCAAATTAAAAAAGGTTAAACATGCAACATTTTGTATTTTAATAAATATATAGGGCAATAATGCAACCAGATCAAAAGTTTCATATTTATTAATTTATTTTTCCACCTATTGCACATATTTCTCCATACAAAACATATAAAATATAAAACACAGCCCTACCAGCTATACTTCCACCAGACACTAAAGACAAATATATACTTAAATAAATATAAAATAATCGATAAAATAATGTTAACATATAAATATATACATATCTAAATAATTGTTTTACTCATCCCCCTCATTTCATCCATAAGGTTGTCTAAGAAAAAAATAACTAAAGCTAAAAACAAAACTATAAACTAAACTAAAACTATAAACTAAAGTAAACTTTAAATCTTCTAAATATTAATGCTTTATTTATTAAACTAATCATAATTTATACTTAGCTTTTGTTCCAACTTCCAAAAAAAGAAAGTATAAAAAAAAGCTAAAGAACTTGATTTTTAAAAATTCCAGTGGCAGTACAAATAAACAAATTTCTATTAACAAATATCTAATAGCAAAAACAGTGACTTATTTCCTTCTTCACTTCTGTATTGAAACAATAAAAGCACTTTAATGTTTAGATGTTAAAATATCGATAAAATACATATTAAATGCCACATTCAACTAATGTAATTAATACCTTTATTAGATCTCTCTTGATTAACTAAAGAATTTAAATTTTAAATAAACTCTAACTAAATTTAAAAAAACTAAAAAAAAAAAAAACAACCAAAATAAATCTTCATATTAATAGTACGTTATTAAGTTGATTAATAGATCAAACAATTTAATCTACTCTAATAATCTACTACCTTATTAATAAACTTTAATTTTTTTTCTACGGCTCAGTGTAACTGTAATATAGATATTTTTAAAGTAAAAAAGAATTTAATATTATAATATATATGATTTTCAAAATCTGAAATTTTAAATCTACCTCGAAGAAAACAGATATATATTGAAAAGTATTTTTATTTTTTTTTAAAAACTTAAAAATGCTTTATAACTTACTTGTTTCGATAATATCACCAACGTCTAAATAGAAAAACAAACAAACATTCAAGTTGACTCATTCTCAAATCTTATAATATATATGATTTAAAAAACCTGAAATTTTAAATCTACCTCGAAGAAAACAGATATATATTGAAAAGTATTTTTATTTCTTTTTAAAAACTTAAAAATGCTTTTTAACTTACTTGCTTCAATATTGTCATCATCTAAATAGAAAAACAAACAATCATTTAAATCGACTCATTCTTAAATCTGGTTTAATTTCTTCAATAATAAAAAAAATTTAATCTTTGAGGATTAAATTCATTTACAAAAATCCGTTTAAGTTCGTTTAAACCATTTTAACATTGTAAAGTTAATTTAAAGTTTTAAAAAACTGAAACATTAATTCTACCTCAAAGAAAACAGATATATATTGAAAAGTATTTTTATTTCTTTTTAAAAATTTAAAAATGCTTCTAAACTTACTCCCTCCAATATAATTATATAACATATATAGTATATATGATAAATAAACCTCCACAAATTCCTTGGTTTAACAACTTGATTATGATTAATAACAACTCTGTAAACATGAATTTTCTAATAACCTAAATAAATTACAGATAGACAAACATAAACTAACACAATTAAATCCTAAACCAAAATTCATTCATGCAATACAAATTATTTTATATTTATTGAAGAGCCAGAAACATATTTTTTTTCAAAGAGCAAAAGTATTAACAATATTAAAGATAAATTTTATTTTAACAAAATTTTCAATAAAAATTAAATTAAGATAAATTTATAACAAAATGTTGTCATGGCTTTTATCCCACTAACCAAAACCAAGTGAAAGCATGAAACTACCCATAAATTTATTTTAACGCTAGACACAATTTAAGAATTAAAGTAATCTATGATAGGAAGCTTTAAATTTAAAATTACAATTTAAAAAAGATTACAATAAATTAATTACTTTAAAATTTAAAAAAAAATTTAGATTACCTATAATTTTAAGCTAATAAACATTATCTACTTAATGTCAACTTAGACGTTTTGAACTCGTACCATGAAAGGTTGAAGGAAATCTGTAAGTAAACACGCGGTAAAGAAAAGCCTAGAAACCTAATTTTCGAGTAATAAAAGAAATATTTAGTAAATGGTAGCAAATTACTTTACCGTTTGCAAAAAATTATTGAAATAAAGAGGTCATCTCTTCAATATAGAAAATGGTCAGAGTTGAGAAGGCTCAAGATGACCGGGTCCGGTTGGCTTTGTTTGCAAATATGAGATTATGTCACGTTAACAACCTCAAAAGTCAATTTAAAACATTTTTAGCGGCAAAATATGGTATATACAAGTATAAATGTTATAGTATAGTAATACTCTTTTATGATTTTTTAGCTAATAAAATGGATTTAAGACTAGATTGATTTTGGTTTCCTGTTAAACCGCAGTAAAATAAGATTAGAAGGCTATTTGGCCCCGACAGAATATGCGACAAGTTTGTATTTAACTAATTTACACAAAATTGGAATTGAGACAAGTTAGCTCCTAAAATTATTTATATGTACAGATATGTTTATTGTTCATATTAGTAAATAAACTGATTAGTTGCGTAATGAGTTTAAATTTTAGACATTTTTTAAAGTTGATAATCATAATGTACTTATTAAACATGCTAATCGTGATGTAACTTGCATAGCTAATGTTAAATTCTCTTTTACTTTAGTTACTGCGCTCAGTGATGCGCAGTTTTGTTTGTGCGCAGTTTTTCTTCTGTTCTGGAATTTTGAGATTGGAATTTCCAGATTTATTTTAAAAAGCGCTTTTTCGTTATAAATTTTCTTTACATCTACTCGTACTTATCAAGTAGCTCATATTCTGTATAATCAATTCAATTGTTTTCATTTTTTATGTTTTAACATGTCTATTAACTTTATTAATTTGTTTTTAAGCATATTTGTTTTTATTTTTTATATCGAATTAATAGAATGAATCAGGTTGAAGATAAAGGTTTGTATTTATTTGGATGTGTATTATGTTACAGATGTATAATGTTATGTTGTTAGTTCTTAAATATATGTTTATTTTTAGTAGCTGAATTACTAAGAAGTAAGTTTTGTTTCATTTTGTTATAAACAAATGTTGTAAATTGCATTTACATGTTTGTTAATTTAAATTAACTTTACAATATTAAAATGGTTTTAAAGAACTTAAAATATTTGTAAATGAATTTAGTCATCAAAGATTAAATTTTTTTGTATTATTGAAGAAATTAAACTAGATTTAAGAATGAGTCAACTTAAATGTTTGTTTGTTTTTCTATTTAGAAAATGACAATATTGAAGCAAGTAAGTTAAAAAGGATTTTTAAATTTTTAAAAAGAAATAAAGATACTTTTCAATATATATCTGTTTTCTTTGAGGTAGATTTAAAATTTCAGATTTTTAAAATCATATATATCATAATATTAAATTCTTTTTTACATTAAAAATATTTATATTATAGTTACACTGAGTCGTAGAAAAATAATTCAAATTTATTAAAAAGTTAGCAGATTATTAGAGTAGATTAAACTGTTTGGTCTATTTAATCAACTTAATAACGTACTATTAAAGTGAAGATTTATTTCGCTTGTTTGTTTGTTAAAATTTAGTAGAGTTTATTTAAAATTTAAATTCTTTAGTTAATCAAGAGAGATCTAATAAAGGTAATAATTACATTAGTTAGTTGAATGTGGCATTTAATATGTATTTTATCGATATTTTAACGTCTAAACATTAAAGTGCTTTTATTGTTTAGATACAACAGTCAAGAAGAAAATTAGTCGGTGTTTTTGCAATTAGATATTTGTTAATAGGAATTTGTTTATTTGTACTGCCATTGGAATTTAAAAAAAATCAAGTTCTTTAGCTTTATTTTAAACTTTCTTTTAGGGAAGCTGGAACAAAAACTAAGTATAACTTATGATTAGTTTAGTTAAATTAAAAAAGCATTAATATTTAATAGATTTAAAGTTTACTTTAGTTTATAGTTTTGGTTTAGTTTATAGTTTTGTTTTAAGCTTTAGTTATTTTTTTCTTATTTTAGACAACTTTATGGATGAAATGAGGGGGGATGGATAAAACAATTATTTAGATATGTATATATTTATATGTTAACATTGCTTAATCGATTATTTTATATTTATTTAAGTATATATTTGTTTTTAGTGTCTGGTGGAAGTTTTAATTAATATGATTAACAAATATTTGATTAACAAATAATTCATAAGTTGTTCCATTGATGATGCAATTGCTGAATACTGAGTAAGAAATAAAATCATTTGCTAAAGCAAGTTGACCCCGCCTACTTAATGAAAACGCAATGTTTTTAAAAAAGTGAGTACTTCGTGAAACTTGTTTAAAAAAATTATGTCGATTTTCAAACTGCATGCAGTATCTGCATGGAGAGCCACATTTCAGTAGAGCTGTAGGATAATGCACAAGAAAGTGATGTTTAGGTGTTAAGCTTTTATGTGGAAACAGCTGGAGATAACTTTGATGATGTTCTGCTATTAGGTGTGATAAATAGCTTGGTAACCCAACATTAACTTTTGGAGCAAAAACTATGTCTAAAATATCCATAAGTATTAAAAGTAAATTCCAATGAGGTTCATCTCGTGGAAATCTGTGTCTGATAATGAATGGTATATTTCGGATTAAGCACCAGCATTCTGAAGCAGTCATTTTTAATCGTTCAAAAGATGCAAAAGTTGTGAGTCGACTATTTCTGCAGAAGAGTCAAAATTAAATTCAGTCAACAACACATTAAATTCGCTTAGAGATATATACCCATCAGCACTTAAACTACCTAAAACATCACTTATTTCAGTAGGAACTATCCCTTCTAATAAATCGTGCATTGCATCAACAGCAAAATTTTTCATAACATGAAAGTACTTTAGCTCATTAAAAATGCACCCGTGTTTAATTCCGCTTTCAGACTCCTTATAATCAGGTTGACCATCTGAATTAACTGAATGATTATAAGACTTTTTAGTTCGTTTAACATAATCAGTCTCAAGGAATTTGACTTGACTTTCTTCCTTTGTTACTTCACATAATCTACAGAATTTCTGTGCATTAAAACTCTCAAAAAATTAAAACAATGAACGATAACCAAATTATCAGCAGAAAAAAGAGCTAGGGATGCTCGTACTTTTATTGTTTGATTGCAGATAGAGACTTGCACACCCTCATTAGATTCTAATTGCTTCAACATATTTATTAATGGGGCAAAATTTAAATCATAAGATCGAGTTTTATCTTTAGCATCTAATGCATACCACATAACCACCAGAAAAATTGAAGATTCTTTGGAAATAAATCTGGAAGGTATGTTTCTCACTGCCATATAAAGAGCTTCCATTTTATGTATCAGTGTATGTGGACCAAGTGGATTTGTTGTTTTAAACCCATCAATATAAAAATGTAAAACCATTGCATCAGGGATTTTAGAAAAATAGAAATATTGCTTGTATGCGTCAGTGTCAAAGTAATCAGTTAAGTTTCCATCATTACTTGCATGGTCATGGCAATTTAAACTTAAGGAGTGATGTTTACACTCAATTATTATTCGAGATAATAATAATTCAATAGGAATGTATTGAGCAGTATCCATTATGTCTTTCATTTCATAACTACCTAATGAAACTGATTTGCATTTCTCTTTCCTTATTCCAAGATACACTGGCTGTGGGACTATATAGAAATAATGTTTTTTTAACTATGCTATTATCTTATGTTCTGTATCAACTTTATCAATGGAAGTAGTCACAGCTGCAAGATCTTCATAAAGATTTTGAAAACAAGTAACATTTTCATCAATATTCAGTTCATTAAAAACGGAACGAACATGCTCTAAAGTTAAGTGCAGTGAGTCCTGCAATAGTTCCTTAAGACCTTCAGTTACAAATTGTACATTTGTCAAAAGAATGTTAGATCGTGCTTGAAGCTTAGCAATAAATGAAACAAATGATTTTTGTATACTATCTTGTATATTTCTTTCATCTCTATTATCTACAGAATCTACACTGCAATCGAATTGATCATCTATTGAGACATCATTTATATTATTAAATAAAAATTGGCTAGAAAATTCACATTTAGATTCTAAATTGTTTACATAAAACAAGTCCTGATGATACTTGAAAATATGCACTCTTAAATTGCAAAAACTGGAACATCTTTTAGGGCAGTCACCCTGGCCACATGGAATATCATTATGTTCATAGACAGCATGTGCCCGTTTTAAATGCCATACCATAATGTTTAGAGCACTAAAGGACTTTCCACAGACAAAACAATGTAAACTCATACTAAAATAATTTTAAAATATTTTGAAATTCTGGTCTTTTTTGGAATTTGTAACTAATAGATAAAAAGATTAACCTGATGATATGAATCCAGTTATGCTTTGATTGTACTTGTACACAACCACTTTTTTTGTTTGACCGATCTTGGTTGAACACGTGAAGAACTAAACATCCAGAACTCTCTATCAATATCAATACTTAGAAGTAAAAAAATACTCAGATAAATAAAAATTATTTTTCAATAGATATTACATGTTATCTTTATAATCCAAATATTACCTATTTCAATAAAAAATGTTTTAATTTATTGTAATATTATTATGTAGAATGTGAAAACTCTAACGCAATTTTAATCATTGTACAGCAAAAAGTAAAAGCATACAATCTTGAAAACCAAAGTTAAGTTTAAACTATATAAATATATAAAATTATAAATTAGTTTAGTGTTAATTAAATATAGTTTTAAAAAGTTGTACAGTAACACAATTTATTATATCACATTTAAAGGGATCCCTAAGTGCTTTAAAGATATGATCTCATATGAAAGAGCATTAAAAAAAAAATGTTTGATGTATATTATTTTTTAAAAAATGTAATAATTATCACACACTAACAAATTTAATTTTCAAAAAAACGCTTTTCTTCGATTAAAAAAAATGCGTCTCGTCCGACTCTACTGCCTCTAAAAACTAACGTTTGTACGTCAAATTAAACAAAGAAGACAAAATGTCATTGCAAACGTAATTAAATTGGTAATTAAATTTTAAAGTAAATTCGTTTTTTTTTTAACTAACGCAAAACTACTTACAAGGACAAGTTTTGTAGAATTTTGTGAAAATATATTTGTATATTAAAATTTTTTTAAATAATTTTTATTTATATATTTGTGTTATTAGGGCAATTCCACGGCCAAAAATGAATAGAAGTCAAATTTTAAACTATTTTTAGTCAGTTTTTAACAAATGAATATTGATGTAGACATATAAAAGTTTATTTAAAATATTTCCTTAGTACAAAAATAAAGTTATTTCAGTCATTATTATGGTTTCAAAAGTGACGGTTATTCTCATTTTCGCTTGATAAAAAAAATAATTATTGTAAAATGTTTTAGTTAAATTAACATTTATGTTAATTTTGCTATATTTTTTGACTCAAATTGATAAGGTTGAATAGATATTTTATTAGAAGTTAAATTAAGACAAGGCTCGAATTAAAAAAAAGTCTAATCACGAAAAAAAAAATTTTTTTTGCCCTCCCCCCCTTCCTCTCTTTCTCTTATAGCTCGCGCCGATGCGTGGTAATGGGGGAAAGGGGTTGCGTTAGTATAAAATTGTCTCTTTAGCACGTAACTGTTATATTTTAACACACTATCTCTCATATTTAAATGTTATCTTATGATTTTCTTGTTTGGCTGAGTTTAAAATAGCGTAAGTTACTGTTATAATTTACAGCTTAGTTTATAATTTAAAGTTTAAGTTGCAGTTACAGTGTAATGAGCAAGTACTTAACGTATTTAAAACTATTAATTTAGTAATTGCTTTTACTTAAAACGATACTTAAAAAATTAAAAGTAAAAAAAATAAGAGTAAAAAGCAAATATTACTATATTTCAGTGACGGATCCAGGGGGAGGATGGGAGTATGCATCCCCTCCCTCCACCAGAATCTGAAAGTTTTAAAAATATCATAGAAATTGAGAACCTTGTTTTTTGCTTTTTTTTTTAGGAGACGCAAACATGGTACAAATATATATATATAAAAATATTCAAAAATATTTTAACATCCCCATTCACCAAAAATTCCTGGATCCATCACGGCAATATTTAAACCGTTATAATTAGTCATAGAGAACTGTTTAATACGTTTACGCCGACGATAAAACACGTGTTTTTAATGAGTATTTAATTGTAATTGGAAAAAGCTATAAAACAACAATAAAACAAAATGTTGTCTTTAAAATATAAATAGCTTGTGTTAACAACGTAAAACAACTTCGTGACGCTGTTTTGTTGCTGTTTTGTTGCTGTTTTATACAGTTTAATAACATAAAATGCGTTTATAATAAAACGAAGCAAATAAATGAAATTGTTTTAATAAATTAAGAAATTATTGTCAATAAATCAAAAAACATCGTCAAAAACTTAATAAAAAATTAGATATCACGTTTTTTATAATTATTATTTCTTACGAGCCCTGTAAGACTTTTTATAAGTTCTAAACAATTTAAAACTATTACTTATTAACTTTTTTTTAACGACGTCTTTCAACCGAATTCTATTATACTGTTTTTGCTAAATTAATTAAAAAAACTTGATTGAAACTTAACTATATAATCACTACTTTTTTTCTTCAAAATCTAAGTTGATATTCTAAAGTTGTTGTGACGTACTAACGTGATTTTTAGCAACTAACAATCGAGTTTCGATGGTGAAAAATAAAATCAAAATGGAGTTGTTTTTCAGTGATTTCGGCAATTGCTTTTTGTTAGCCTGCATTTATTATTACAACTTAGTGAAAAAGAGAAAAAACTTACTTTTTTTTTTTTATGCTTTTTCATATGAGATCATATGTTACTTAGGGATCCCTTTAAAATCCCACTTAGGGATTTCTTTAAAACTGAAAATGCAATAAACCTTTGTTTTAACGTTGCTATTTTAACACCAGTATTGAAATAACAAATGATTGTACCAAGCAAAGAATACTAATAAATTCCAACAAACAAATACTTTAATAATTATTTAAAAAGTATTTTAAAGGTACTAAAATAAAAAATGCAGATAAATAAGAAAACAAAAAAAGGAAAATTTGAAGACAGAAAACTTATGATATTATCATTTTTATTTTATGATAAAATTTATGTCTTTAAATTTTTCTATTTAGGTTTTCTTATTTTCCTGCATTTTAAACTGCAAATAAATTCATGATGAATCTATATATAACAATGATAAGTGACGCTAAATCTCCCTTGTTGCAATAGAATTGTGAAGTTTAATTTTTAACACGTGGTAAAACTTCTTAAAAATTTCCTTATTTTATAGCTAAACCGTGATTGAATTCCCTTGATTTAAGGAAATATATCGGAGGGATAATTTTGTTCGCGTGATGTAACATTTAATTCACGTAATTTGAGGAGTTTATTTCCTTAAAAGAAGGAAAGATTTACGGCAAAACCGTTAAGGAAATTTTTTTCCTAACCGGCGAAGAAAAGATTTTTTTGAGTGTACCATGTTATTAGTCATTTTACTGCGCCTAGGCCAGACATCTTAATTTATTGTTTTAGAATGTTTGGTTGAATCAATTAAGTCTTAACTTGTATTTTCCTTTGATACGACGTTCCAATGTATAACTCGAGCTTTACCTGAGCAGGTTTCTATTTTGCTTTGATCAAATACGGAATATCATTAATATCTTGGGATTCCAATTTAGTATCGGCACTTTTATGATAAAGCTTCTTTTTTAACTGATGTTTCGAGTAAGTTCTCCTAATTAAGGCTACCTTCATAATTCTAAAGATTTATACTTTGATTTTTAAATTTACTCCTACTATAACTTTGTTGTCAATATTGGAGAGTAATCTTCCAAAATGTTTATTATTCAATGCAGCAGCATTCCGGTAATTATCTAGCGTATGAACGAGGCTTTTGTTGTGAATCTTATCAAAGTCTCAAAACAATCGCTTAAAAACGCTATTGATAACTTCGATAACGCACTGAGTCTTTGTAACGAAGCGTGATTGAATCGCTTTAAAGGTTTTTAACTGTTTCTGGTCTTTTCTAAGACAAACTGACATTTTTGGATTAAATTTATAATCTTTCTTGAGCTCTTCTATAAAATCACGGGATTCGTGATCCAATATAATAACGTTATTTGGGCAAAATAAAGAACATAAGCTTTGGTTCTTGATTAGAATCTCACTTAATATAATCGCGTCATCCTTTGTTGCTTTGAAAATGCTAAAAATATTTAAGTTATTTCTTTTAGAATAACAAATCACGAATGGCTTTAAAAAGTGTTTCTTTTTTTGGACACTGAATATTTAACGCTAAAAAACGTTTTTGCTGCTTTTTTTTTCAACAACAATAAGTTCCATCTGCTAATATCATCAATTGATCATCACTTGTTTAAAAAATCTCTAGCAAATGAGGCTATTGTTTTTTAATAACTCATTTATTTGGATGTGGTTTACGCTTAGTAAACTTAAAACGAAATCATTGGTAAGTGACTCTGACTTGTTGAAGTGACCGACTTCAGCAACCAACTGTCAAATTTAAAATCCAAACTAAAAAACATTGGTATTGTCAAATGATTTAGCCCAGTTTTGACCCAGAATAGAAATATTGCCAAACCTAGGATTTTAAAGCACAGCATTGAATTTCTAATTGAATCAAGTGAATCCCTTATTTCAATAAATTTTTCTCTTGTTAATCCAGTTATTCTGAGACATTTGTACTCAATCAAAGTTGTTTTATTTATGAAAAGGTATTTAAGCGAATTTCGAAGTACATATTTAAGTATTGTTTCGAAAGAATTTTTAACCTTATTTTCTTTGAGTTTTATATAAGGTTTTCTAATTGATAGCATCTCCATACTTTTTCTAATAAAATTGACGATTGAAAAAGATGAATTCTGTAACATATCAAACCAGGTTTTTTTATATAGACGACAACAATCGCTTCATTAGAAATGTTTCTCAACTTTTTGTATAAGTTTTTGCGACACAAAAAAGTTTTAAAAAAATCTACAAGAATTGATACATCATCAGGATTGCATTTTTTGTCAGTTTTTTCTTTTCAAGAAAAAACTGACAAAAACTTTCTATTTTTTGTTTTTGTTCCTTTTTTTCTTTGTTTTTAGTTTTTTGGTTTGTTTTGTTTCGTGATTGTTATTTGTTATTTTTTTTTTCGCTTTTTGTTATGTTTGAACTTTGTCATGTTTCCATAAAGTTGTCAAATATTATGCGTGTTAGTTTTTTCTTAATATTAATGAATGTTTTTTATTCTACTTAAGAAAATTAAAAAATTCAATTGGTAAGCAAAGTTTAATTATGTTTCATTTTATTTAATTTTAACACACGTTTTTTGATATTTGTGTGCGGTTTTATCACTGTAAAATAAACTGTTTAATTGATAAGTATATGTTAGTTTATGCAAATATATTTTTTACCTCCACTATAGCGTCATCTGCAGTACCATCTGGTAATGTGTTTCGCATTCTTATGCAATTTTATGAGTGTTATGTGTATTAAAACTTAAAGATAATTTATAGATACTTTATTTTATTTTTTTTTTGTGTCTCCATTAGCGCCATAAAAAAAACCCTCAAGTAATCTGTTTTGCATACTTAGCAGTTTTATGGGTGTTATGTGTATTGAAATTTAAACATTTTTTTGATTTTTGTATGCAATTACATGACTGTTAAATGTATATTTGTTTATATACACTTTTTTTTTAACCTCCACAATAGTATCAATATCTGCAGGACCATCAGGTAATGCGTTTTGCATTTTTATGCAGTTTTATGAGTATTATGTTTATGAGAGTTTTATGATTATTAAAACTTAAAGGTTGAATAATTTTAAGTTTAAAATCATATTTATTATCATATTTGCACATCACTTTATTTAATTTTTGTCTCTACATTAGCACCTCAAGCAATATTATTAGCTAATCTGTTTAGCATATTTATGCAGTTTTATGGGTTTTATGTGTATTGAAACTTAAACATTACTTTTTTCATGTTTTTAGGCAATTACATAAATGTTTAACAAATGTTACTTTATAAAGTTTTTTTGTTTTACCTCCACAATAGCATCTGCAGTACCATCAGGAAATGTGTTTTGCATACTTATGCAGTTTTATGAGTGTTATGTGTATTTGTGTATGTATATATGAAATTTAAACATCACATATTCTTTTTTTACATTATTTTATTTATTATTATTTTTTTTTGTCATAAATTTTTTCTTTTTTAAAATCTAAATAGTTTTAAAAATTATTTTTATTGGTTGTTATGTGCAGTATTGTATTCAAATATATTTTTCTTTTTGTTTTGTTTTTTAGCATCTCATGAAGATTTCCTGCGACATCGCTGCCAGCACCCAGATCTGATATCTCAAAGAGCCTTCTACCGGTATTGTCAATATGGGGGAGATGATCCCTCCTTTAGATGGAGAAGACAAACCCCACATGACACCACTGGTAGAAAGAGGGGTGTTGGAAAGCGGTTCAACACTATTAATTTCCAGTAGCTTTTTGAAGCCACTGGTAGAAATATTTATTTTTTTAATTATAAAGATATAAATTTTTTTTAAACTTGTATTTTTATTTTTACACTTTTCTATTAATTCAATTTTTATACTTTCACTATTTTGTTTATATTGATTTTTAATTCTGTTTTTAAATCCTAAACTTACAAAAGAACTTTTATGTTATAAAAGTTTTTAATAATTTGTCTATAAATTTTTTTATTTATTTATGTTTTTACATCTTTTTATCCTCATTTTAATTTTAATAACACTAAATTATCTTTTGTATTAATTTTTATTTGTTAAGTGTTATATAGTTTTTAAAAGATATGGTAAATATATTTAAAATTTTTTTTTTCTACGATATCTGTTTAATATGTCTAATATGCACTATACACCTATTGATCTCTTTACATTATTCTCTTTAAATATATTACAAAAAAGTATTTAAAACCAGTAGTCAGCCACATGTGGTCTACATGACGTAAAATGTTTGCAATTGTTGGCATGTCATTTTTTAATTTGTATTTATTTTTACTTTTGAATATTACCATTAATATGACTTTTAAAATAATAAATTTTTTATTCGTTTCAAAAAATACCATTTTATCACTTACAATATAGTATGTTATTACAATATACTTCTTGTTTTTTCTCTGTTTTAAACCAGTTTAGTTATAACTTTGGTTCACAAACTTGATTAGACGCTATATACATAGTTTCATAGGTTTAAACCGATAAATAGCACTTTATTGTGTTAGTTCATTTTAGATAAGTATAACAAAAAATTATTCAAATAAAGTTTTGTCAAACATAAACAGTTTCTTAATTATCTCAAGTAACTTAAGAACTGAAAATAAAAGAAATTATTGGAATGAGAGAAATGAGGCCAGACGAAAAGAACTTAATCGTCGCCAAAATGAAAGACATAAGACTAGACTAATCGTCGCCAAAATAAAATAAATGAGGCTAGACAAGTATTACTTCAGAGTGGAATGCATTGCATAGGAAGAAATAATGTTTTTATAGAGAGTAATTACCCAGGAGAAATAAACCATAATTGTCAGTATTGTGGTGCTTAAATTTTTTTTAATAAAACACATTTTTTGTGCTGCCATTCCGGAAAGGTTTTCTTACTTCCACTTTCACCTTGTCCTGTCTATCTTTTGCTTCATTTATTGCCACAATAGATCATCCGTCAAATCGTGGTCTTCCCTGTTTTAGAATTAGTGGGCATATTATGCATCGTATTGGTAACCTAAGACATCAGCAAGGTGATCCAACTGCTTATTGTCAATTATATGATTATGATCCTAATACCGCTTTAAACTTTTGAATAGAGCAAATGATTGTTGCACACGTGAGTTAATGGAACTTTTTCAGACTAAATTAATTAGGAGATCTCATATACACTTGCATTTAAAAATATGGCAGAGGTTGAAGATGCAGAAATCCGTCAAGCTGCTATAGAAGGTCGTCCAATATCCGTTGTCAAAATGTCATTGCTTAAGGGTTTTGATACAATCTTTCTTCACATGAGGAGGTTGCCATTATGTTTGTAGGAAATGATGGTGCTCCACCTCCATCTAGAGAAGTTTTTATTTATCCTGGAGGTCAACCCTTAGAAACAATATCAAGTATGTCTGCAAATCTAGATCCAATGATATATCCATTATTTTTTCTAAGAGGTGATACAGGATGGCATGATCAACTAGAGCACAATGCTGACTGAGCAACACGTGTTAGAAATCGTGTTACTTTGTCTCAGTACTACAATTATAGGTTTTTTATTAGATAAACGTTGAGTTCTATATTTTATGGTAAGAAGCTTTTTCAACAGTATGCATTTGATGCGTATGTCAAGATTGAGAGACAACGCCTTGCTTCTATCAGAAATAACCAAAACAACTTAGAAGTGAACAATACAATAAATTACATGAGTATGTAAATAATGTTGCAAATAACCATAATAAAAGACCGGGTCGTGTTGTTATACTACCATCCTCATATGTTGGAATTCCAAGAGCTATAAAAGAAAATTATGAAAATGCAATGGCAATTTTAAAGACGTTAGGCAAACTAGATTTTTTTATTAATTTCACCTGTAATCCAAAATGGAGAGAAATTACAGAAAATTTAAATCCAGCTGAGAAACCAACTGACACGCCTGATTTAGTTTGTCGCGTAATTAAGATGAAACTTAAATGCTTTTAAGATGATATTTTTAAACATGGAGTCTTTTGCAAAGTTGTAAGTCATGTACATAGTATTGAGTTGCAAAAACGTGGTTTGCCACATACGCATATTTTATTACAGTTTGTAAATGATGATAAGCTAGAAACAGCATAGGATATTGATAGTTTAATATCAGCTGAAATTCCAGATCAAACTGTTGGTTCTGAACTTTTTGAAACTGTACAAACATGTATAATTCATGGACCATGTGGGGTTTTAAATCTTAATTCTTCTTGCATGAAAGATGGTGTTTGCACAAAAAAATTTCCTAAAGAGTTTAATCCTTGCACTTTTGCAATTTTCAATGGTTATCCTAACTAAAGGCGTTTAGATAATGGTAGAGTAGTCATTATAAAAGGTAACCAAGTTGATAATCGATGGGTTGTACCCTATAACCCCTGGTTATCAAAAATATGTTCCAAACTTACATTAATGTTGAAGATTGCATGTTTATTAAGTCAGTGAAATATTTATTCAAACATGTCTCTAATGGATATAATTGTGCGAATATGGTAATTAATGAAAGTGCTGACCATGATGAAATTAATACATATTTAGACTGTTGGTTTGTTGCCGCATCAGAGGCTCTTTGGCGAATATTTGAGTATTTCATAAGTGATATGTTACATACTATTAACCACCTTCAAGTCCACCTTCCTGATAGTCAGAGAGTATATTTTAAAGAAGGAGATGAACAAGTAGCTATAGATTGTGCGTGACACTCACCTAACCGCTTGATTTAAGCTAATTGGTAAAAATAATGAAGGACGTCAGTATTCTTATGTTGAAATTCCATATCACTTTGTTTTAGGTATAAATTGCAGGTGGAAAGTAAAACGAAGAGGTTGTGATAAGGTGGTTGTTCGAATTTATAAAGTCAGTTCATTTTGCGAATTATTTTTCTCTGATTGTTACTTTTGCATGTAAAAGGTGCAAAGTCTTTTGAGGATTTGCGTACTGTTCATGGTACTGTTTTTAATACATTTCGTGAAGCATGTTATCATTTAGGTTTATTGCAAGATGACATTGAGTGGATAAATACATTAACTGAAGTTGTTGTAACTCGGATGCATAAAAAAGTTAGGCTACTGTCTTCCATTATACTTACTTTATGTGAACCTAATGATCCTTTACGCCTTTGGAATACATTTAAAATTTATATGATAGATGATTACATACACCATTCAATGTCAGTCGTACTTGCTGAACAGGCAGCTTTTTGTCAAATTGAATCTATAATTAATCAGTGGTAAATATATAGTGGAAAAACCTTAGCTAATTATAATTTTCCTGCTTTAGACGAATTTTTAGATAATGTCCCAGAAAATGATGATAAAGATGTTCAGGTGTTTGTTGATGAAGCAAATCGAGTAAGACCGTTATTGAGTAATAATCAGCGTAATGTAGCCGATGCGGTCCTTGCTGCACTAATTGAGGAATCTACTAATGAAAATAAGCATTCAAGATTGTTCTTTTTGTATGGGCCTGCCGGTTGTGATAAAGCATTTACTTACAATTATTTAATTGCTGAAACACGAAGCAGGCATATTAGAACTGCAACAGCTGCGTGGACAGGAATAGCTGCAACTCGTCTCAAAAATGGGTGCACAATGCACAGTTTAATCAAACTTCCTGTTCCATTTTTGGAAACTAGAACGTGTAATGTAACTCCAAACTCTATTCATGGTATCTTCCTGAGACAAGTCAGGTTTATTTACTTGATGAAGCATCTATGATACCTAAATATGCTTTGAGTGCCATTGATAAGCTATTGCAAGATATTTGTAATAACAACTTTCCTTTTGGTGGTAAGGTTGTTGTTATGGGTGGAGATTTCAGACAAATACTTCCAGTTGTGAAGCGAGGTCGACCAGCAGAAGTTATAGAATCATGTTTAAAATGTTCTGAACATTGGCAATATGTGCAAAGGTTCTCATTAACTTTAAATATGAGGGTTCAGATAGAAGAAGAGGGATTTTCTCAATGGCTTTTAAAGCTTGGAAGTGGAACATTACCTGTCAAGCTTGAAGATCCTTTGCGAGGGTGTATTGAAATACCTAAGCAGTGCTTTCTCAGTAATAATGAATCTATTGTGAAGAAGATTTTCGGTGGTGCAGAAGAAGCTGATTATGCAAAACGTGCTAGTTTAACGCCAACAAATGTTGATTTATTTGCAATAAATGAAGAAGTCCTTCATTGTTTATCCGGTGATGTGAAAACATATTTAAGTTCATATAGCAATGAAACTGATGATTGTAATAAAATTAATAACTTTCCAGTCAAGTTTTTAAACAGTTTGACTCCATCAGGTATGCCTGTTCGTTGCCTAAAATAAAAAATTGGTGCTGCTATAATGCTACTTAGAAATTAAGATCTCAAAGGTGGACGTTATAATGGAACCCGTTTGATGGTGCATGCACTACACAACAATTACATTGACGGTAAGATTTTAACAGGTGTATCATCTGGTAACAAGGTATTTGTTCCTCAAGTTCAATTAGCTCCATCAGATGCAAATTTATCTTTTACATTTAAACGTCGTCAGTTTCCAGTTAGGTTAGCATCCTCAATGACCATAAATAAAGTGTTTGACCATAAAGGTCAAACACTTGAAAAAGTTGATGTTTATCTCAAAAAGCCTTGCTTTTCACAACGGCCGATTGTATGTTGCATGCTAAAGATCAAAATCATTTAATAGTTTGTTATTTAAAGTTGATATATATCTATTACAAGGTATGCCATTTAACAAACATTACACAAATAATGTTGTCTTTACAAATGTTCTTAATTTATAATTTTGACAAGTATATTATGTGTTATATGTGTTTTATATTTTTTGTATGTTTTTTTTGCTATATGTGAATATTTATATTTATGTGCTTAAGTTTATAAAAAATTATATTAAGTTGTTTTAATGTGAAAAGTGGTGTTACTTGGCAACGTGTAGTGCAAGACTGTGATCCTTGCTAGCCAAGCGGTTTTACTAAATAGTGGTGTTACTTGGCACTTAATGCGAAGCGGTGTTACTAAATTATGGTATTACTTGGCAGCGTTTAGTGCCAAGCGGTGTTACAAGTGTTGAGCTAGGTTGTGTTGTCTAGCTTTTTTATTTATTCTGGAAATACATAATCTGAATACTTTGTGTTATGTGCACTTACAAATATTTTATGCTATGTGTATTCAGTAGCATAGGCAGGGTATTTTGATGCTTTTGAATTCAACCAAAATAAGGTGTGTTCACGTTTATAGAATTAAAATACTTTGCAAAAAATCGATGTTATTAAATAAGTAAATAAGTAGATATTTAGGAAGTTAGATGATATTGATGCTATTGTGAAAGTAAAAAAAAAAAAAGTGTATAAAGTAACATATGTTAAACATTTATGTAATTGATAACAAACATGAAAAAAGTAATGTTTAAGTTTTAATACACATAACACTCATAAAACTGCATAAGTATGCAAAACACATTACCTGATGGCATTGAAGATGATATTGATGCTTTTGTGAAAGTAAAAAAAAAAGTGTATAAATTATCATATGTTAAACATTTATGTAATTGCATGAAAACATGTAAAAAAATTATTTAAGTTTCAATACACATAAAACCCATAAAACTGCATAAGTATGCTAAACAGATTACCTGATATTATTGCTTGAGGTGTTAATGTAGAGACAAAAAAAAAAATAAATAAAGTAATGTAAAAAATAAGATATGCAATCTTTAAGTTTTAATACACATAACACTCATAAAACTGCATAATTATTTAAAACATATTACCTGATGAAATTGCAGATGATATTGATGCTATTGTAAAAGTAAAAAAAAAAAGTGTATAAAGTAACATATGTCAAACATTTATGTAATTAATAACAAACTTGAAAAAAGTAATGTTTAAGTTTTAATACACATAACACTCATAAAACTGCATAAGTATGCAAAACACATTACCTGATGGCACTGCAGATGATATTGATGCTACTGTGAAAGTAAAAAAAAAAAAGTGTATAAAGTATCATATGTTAAACATTTATGTTAATGCATGAAAACATGAAGAAAAAAATATTTAAGTTTCAATACACATAAAACCCATAAAACTGCATAAGTATGCTAAACAGATTACCTGATGTTATTGCTTGAGGTGTTAATGAAGAGACAAAAAAATAAATAAATAAAGTATTCTGTAATTTAAGATATGCTATCTTTAAGTTTTAACACACATAACACTCTTAAAACTGCATAAGAATGTAAAACACATTACCTGATGGTACTGTAGATTACGCTATAGTGGAGGTAAAAAATATATTTACATAAACTAACATATACTATTCAATTAAACAGTTTATTTTAAGTGATAAAACCACACACAAACATCAATAAATGTGTGTTAAAATTAAACAAAATGAAACATAAGTGAACTTTGCTTACCAATTGAATTTTTTTAATTTTTCTAAATAGAATACAAAAAAAAAAACTTATTAACATTAAGAAAGAAACTAACATGCAGAGTATTTGTCAATTTTAGGAAATCTTTAAATAAAGTTGGAACAAAACAAAAGCCAAAAATAACAATCACAAAACAAAACAAACCAAAAAAAAAAGTGACAAAAAAAATAAAAAATAAAAATAAAAAAGAACATTATAGTAACTTACTTAGTTGTTAAAATTTAAGCCATATAAAAAAAATGCTAAAAATTGTATTAAAAAAGCTAAAAGACCAAAGAGTAGACCATTTTTTTTGAAAGTAAATTGCTATATCTTTATCTATAATACACAAATGAAATATAATCAAATTCTTTTTACCCATTGAATGTTCTACTTTTTCTAAATAAAATGAAAAACTTATAACCATTAAAATAAACTAACTTGCCATATAAATAATAACTTTATGTTAAATAAATATGTAATAAAAAAAATAAAGAGCATGACAACAACATTAACAAATTGCTTACTTAGATTCTCAACTGAATCTTCTATTTTTTCTAAATAAAATAAATTTAAAAGTTACAAAAGTCACTTGTTGACTGACAAACTGTCACAACTGACAAAAGTCAGTTGCTAAATAACTTTAAAAAAACTAAAAAAGCATAACTTGTCCATTACTTCCGCTAAACATTAAAAAAAAGTTATAATTAACAAAGTGCTGAAAGTGGTGAAATATATATCTTTGTAACATATCCTTCTCATACAAAGCTAGCTTACTTGGCAAGAGCTCTTCGGCTCTGATCTCTTGAACATCTAATATATATATAGACAATTAATTTGCAAAATATTCACTTTTTCAATTAAACATTTAAGATTTGTCTTAAATTATAAAACTGTTGCACAGTTTTATAATTTAACATTTATAAATTAATCAGTAAATGACAAAAAGTTTCATTTTACGTGAAAGTTTAGTAGTTAAAAGACTTAAAAGTCTGTTTTAGCTTAAACACGTTTTATAAAATTATAGCTTTAACACCTTAAATAAAGCTTATACGCGTTTTTAAGGTTCACTGCTTTACAAAAACATCAATCAAAATAGCGGAATAAACAAAAACTGAGTTTCGGGTCCACCTTTTTAAACTTCTAAAAATTAATTTATATATTTTTTTATTTTAGTTAAATTTTAGGGCGGTGTACTTGATTCACGGGGTTAGGGGAGGGCGGCATATCTTGGTTGATTTCAATTAAATCGGGCTAAAATAAATCATCGTTTTATTCACACGTGAATCAAGAAGAGCTCCGTCACTTTTAGAACATATGTAACTGCTACTATATATAGTATAGATAAATGGCTTACTTCGAAAAAATGCAGAAACTTCTTCGTCGCCTAAGATATACAAAATTATCTCAATGTAATTTCTTAATAAAATAATAAGCTAAATATCTCAGTATTATTGACGTATTATCTCTTTTTATCTCTTTAATTAATGTTATACAAAATAAAAAGAATACCTTCTGTATCTTGGCTGCTCATTTCTAAAAAATAATCTTAATGTTTATTCTTCGGTCAAAAACATATTAAATTTAAACATATAAACATGGTAATTATAAAATAAGTTTAATTTTTTAAATGAAGATTACAATAATTAAACTTGTAAATACAACTTTTTTGTCGTCCCTCGCTTTGCAATTGTTATAATCGATATGAAGACTACATGGCCGAGTTTTATTGGTTTTAGAGTACAGTTGGCACACATATCATAATACAAAATTCAGATGGTTTTGAATCTATTAATTAAGCTGTTTTTATTAACGGATTTGGTGGATTTAATTAGATAACCGCAAGGTAGTTTTACAGTGGTTTAAGAGTTGGCGTAGTTTTCGTAATATAAAAATCATTTAATATTTGTTTATATCTTAGTATTCGAGCATTTCTATTAGCGGATTAGGCAAAATTTTGTGGATTTTCTGTTTGTCACCTTCTGGAGTAACTAAATTTTTGTTTTACGTTTCAGAATACAATTTTTTTTTCATACCTTACCGTACTTTTTAGGACTCTTGACCAGTTAGTTTTAATAAAAATTTCAGTTTACATGTAAAACCTTTTTTTTTTATATATATAAGAAAGAAAGTTATCTCTTTAATGTGTGTTGAACTCGCAGACTTAACTAATTACCTAAAACATAAGTATCTCTATCATTATATATGCGCTACAAATTTCCAACAACGTTTTTATGTTTTTAGAAATTTTAAAAAACGTTTTAAAAAATTCTCTCCGTTTGGTTTGTTATAGTATATTATATCTTTATTTTTATGTAATGCGTATAACATCTATATGCATTTAAACTAGTTTTTGTTTGTTTTCTAGAAAACTGGAAAAGATTTTAAAAAAAAATTGTGTAAGCAAAAGGTTTTGAACCCAAGCGAAGCACTTCAATCGCTTTGGAATGCTATATCATCTTTTTACACTATTTAATAAACAGAAAACTTATTAAACTTTAAAAAACAACATTTAATGCTTTAAAATAAAGAGATATTGTCGCAATGAAATTTTTAAGTAAAAATAAATCGGTAGAATTTGATGTCATCTACTTTATAATAATACTGATTGAAAATTAAAGAACTTAAAGTTTACATATTTAGATATTTAAATAGACTTTCGTTCACATTGATAAAATACAAATCATTACGGATTGTGGTTCCGAAAAAAAAGGTTAATACACTACCATCTATAATTATTGGAAAGGTCATTTTTAATATCAAAGATATCAAAGTTTTGGCGAAAAAGTGAAAACAATGTCTACCTGAATTATATGTTATTTTCCTATTTATTAGGTTTACAAATAAAACTTCCCTGATTAGTTTATAATTTATTCAAAACCCTGATTAGCTTTTAATTTATTTGCCTATTAAGCACCCTTAACAACAATAACCGCCATAAATATATTCTTAGCATGCTACTTAACGACTTATTTAATTAGTCTATTTTGTCACTAAGTTTTTTCAAAAAAAAAAAAATACACATGTATTAACTGTATATCAATTTATTTATCTATTTAATTTAATATATATAATATATAATTTAATATATATAATTTAATCTAATTAATATAATTGAAATACTACTAATCAATTTGCTGATATTTTTTCTATAGCATTGTTAAAAATGGTTATATTCTGAAAGGTTAAGAAATTTATTGAAAAGAAAGTTGCACAAAAGAAAAAAAAAACTAAATAAAAGTTATTCGTTTCAAAAAACGTTTTACAAAGAGTTTTTCCAAACAATTTTATTTTTAATTGCGTTTTTTTTTTGAATTACGTCATAAGCATATTAATGCGTTTTGAAAAAGAGTTGCTGCATATATTTATAGTAAAAAAGTCAATGTTGCAAAATAAACTTTTAATTGTCAAAATAAAGTTTTAAAGTTTTACTTAGCTACAGGCTTTTTTTTTTTTTTTTGCCTCCACAGCAGCATCTTCTGAAGTAGCAGGGCTGTCTTGTTAAGTTTTTTCTTTATTAAGTTTCAGACAACTTTTTTTTCAGACCATCCGCAGCTTATTAGGACAAATTACATGAGCACATTAATAACATAAGTGTCTCAATTATCATAGATACGCAACATATTTTTTCTACTGGTGACGTTTTTTTTTTTTTTTTTTTTTTTATTTTAATGTTTCATGAAGTTTTAGCTTTCTTAAAATCTTTCCTTTTGTGAGTGCATAACATCGTTACGTTACATATGTTTGTATATAATCTTTATAAAACTTCGAAAGAATTTTGTATTTTAAAATAATTAAAAAAATTTAAAAAAATAGCCGCCATTGGTAGGAGTTGAATCTTTAGTTCCTTGTTCAGAAGTTCGCCGCCTTATCCACGCTACACCGGCATATCATCAAGTGTAGATTTTATAATAATGTAGTAATTTTTTTGAATAAAAGATCAAAATTAAGGAGAGGTTGACGCAATGTAATTTTCAAGTAAAAATCAAACTGTAAAACATAATAAATGTTTCAGTATGCTTTAACATATGCTTTAACATTACTTAATTTAAAGTTTACGTACGTTAGATATTCGTTCACGTTTTCTTATAGTGCTGCGACTCTTTCTTGCCAATACCTCGGTTGCAATGGCTGCCAAAGGTTTTGTGTCAAATACGCTCCAAGGGACACTATTAAGTTTGCTATTATTATATATATGATGTGGCATTGAACTTGTTGAAGCTGATATTTTACATTTTAAGTATGTCTTTTTTGTTTGATTTTTTTTTTGTTTGATTGTGAAACCCCATTTACTAACATATTAAAATAGTGTACAAAATTCGATGTTACTAGAATTTATATTCTACTTATGTCGAGCTTCCTAATATATAACTAGTCTATAATAATTCATTGAATTATGAGATTAAATCAATGAATAATAATTAAAAACAATTAAAATAAAAACACTCAATTTAAATCACTATTTTTATTTATCTGATTAAAATCATGATAAAAATCGAAACAACCCTTAATATATTCCATCTTCTTGAGGCAGAGGGAAATTATCCTTGGTTTTATTATTTTTTAATTTAATATCTCTAGATATTTTTCATAATTAGTTTGCGTACAACAGTTAACAACTTTAAGCTTATACATCAACTTTAGTTATAACCTAATTATTTATGATTTGATTTATAGATTTTTTTAGTAATACAAGTTTGAATTTAGCATAAGGCTCAACTTCTGCTCTGGAGACAAAAAAGGAAGACAGCAAAAATGACCAGCCAAATTAAAGATTAAAGAGACAAAAAATAGTGTATATCTTGGTGAAGATAATTTATCCTCAATTTCTCATAATAAAACACAAAATATTATTAAACTTTGGGATTTACCTGTAACTCCAAACTTTTTACAGAAGTTCAATGTTTGCTCTGAGAAGTTAAATGAACAAAATTTATTAAATGGTAAGTTTTTATATAAATAAAAAATGGTAAGTTTTTATATATATAAGTCTTTATGTCTGATTATTGAAAATCTTTATTTATCGCTTTAACTTTTACAATTATAAAGAATTTTTTATTTATTACGGTCAAAAAGTCAGAGTGTTAATTAACATTTTATTGTATAAAAATCAACATATCAAAGTTTATACCACAGGTTTGGTCGGGAAGCGGGAGCGATCGCTCTTAAATACTGTCCACCGAAATGATATTTAGTTGCGAAAAACTGGCCAGGTTTTTAGTCGTTTTGAGAACATTTAAGTTTAGGGACGTAACAATAATTTTTTGTTGGATTTTAAAGTTGGTGTCACCAACTTTGAAATCCATTTTATATCAACTATTGAAAAAAAACAACAGAATATTCATATCAGTTAAAAGTTTTAACAGTTGCTGATAGTTCATTATTAATCATTATACTAACGTTTATTTAAATTTATGTAATAGACCAAGGTAATACAATAATTTTATAGATGACATTATTTTTAAAAATTGTATTATTAAAATTCAGAACTAAAATATGTAAAAAAAAAATTATTTACAAATATTGGACAAGGTCCGTACTGTACTTGAAAAATATGTTAATATTGGCCAAAGTTGTGGAAATCCTGGAAAAGTCAGAGAATTTTTTTTTTTTAGATAGTCATGGAAAAGTCAGTAAATCTAGTTAAGAAGTTACTTATATTACAATTGAACGCTGAATTTTAAAAACGTGAGGAGTCACACTTTTTTTAAAAGTGAGGTTATTTGAAAAGAATGTTTTTTTTTTTAAGGAAAAGATGAAATTATAAGATAAAATACAGAATTTTTAGATAAAAATAATAATTTTTTTTGAAATATATTGAAATAAAAGAAACAATTTTTAGATAAAATAAAAATAAAATTTTTTAGAGGAGAAATCTTTTTTACTCTCCTGTAAAATTTTAATTTTGTGGCTTATCACATTTTTAAAATACAGCGCTCAGTTAAGCTATTATGTTTTTTTTTGGTGCTACTAATTTTTTTTTTTCTAAAACTTATGTTTTTCTTAGTGTTGATTCTTAGTCATCTATAATAATAAGATCCATACTGACATATATAACAAGATCCATGCTAATATCCAACTTGACTAATAGCTAGGTTTTAAAAGTTTTGTCATTCAAAGCATGTATAATCTTTGTATTTCCATTACAGTAAATAGTAATTTTAAACATTTTGTAAAAATTATTGTTAAAAATAGTCAGGAAAATTCATCTAATTTTTTAAAAAAAGTCATTGAATTTTATACAAATAGTTGGCTATAAACCCTATTTGAAAAACATTGTTTTAATATGAATTATTTTGTTTTACATTGCAATATGTATCTCAAAAATTAGCGAGAATTGTTTTGTGTCAGTACCAGAAATTAAACGCACACCTGAAAATTTCATAGTTCACAAAAATAATATGAATCCATCGCCAAGTATATATTTTTATCATTAAAAATTTGCCCCTCTTTCTTTAATTTTATCTGTTTTATTAGTGATTGTTGTATTTACTTTCATAATTTCTAAATATAATATGTAATTAGTTGTATAGTTTCTTAATAATATAAATAACTTTATTGTTTCAAGATAAAGTTGTATCCTTGAAAGATATGCTGGTAATATTATCACAATGGGCAAGCATTAAAGTGAAACTTGGTGAACTACAAAATACATCAAATTCAGTTATAGAAATTTGAGTAAAAAAGCTTTGCTAACTATTTTATTGTCTGAAAGAGTGTCATTGCCATTAAAAGCAGTAAAGAACTCAAGTACTCTGGAAGAAAAAATACAAGAAAACATTTAAGTAAAAGGTAAATACTTTTTTATTATCTGTTTTATGCATTTTGTATGATATCTCAGTACAATTTATATACTTTAAATAAAATACTCTTTGAAGATTTTTTGTAAATGACATTTTATATTGATTAAGTTTAAACAAAAGTTTAATTATTGCCAGGTTGTGTATTTTTGCAGGTAAATTATTTTGCACAAATTGAAGTTAAAAACAAAGGAGATTATGTAATTTACTAAGAATAGTTTATTTAAATGACCTAGCTGTAAAATTAAATTATGCAGGGAGAGGACAAAAAATTAGAATACGAAAAATGTTGATTGCATATGTTGCTATTGGTAAATGGTTTAGAAAAGTTTATTTTTTCAGTTTCAATTTTGCATTAAAGAATTACTTTCAATTTTTTGTCTCTTTGATGCATAATTAAACAAACAATTTTTTTTTTTTTTTTGCAGAAACTGTGACGTCAAATAAGCATGGCTTATGCAGACATGTGATAGAGATAACGGAAGAAAAAATAATAATCACGGGTACCAAATATCATAAGCTAAACATGATTCAATTACAAGTAGCTCAGCCAATATCGAAACTACTCTATAAATTTTATAGTGAATTTTTTTGTTTAAAACTCAATGTGTCAGTTTTTGGTTTTAGTTTGGTGTTTGCAGTATGTATATTTAACCGAGAAATTATGTCAAATGAATAAATTTTTATACTTGTATCATAAATTCTTTTTTCTTTATATAAATGTTCAATGTAGCGATGCAAATCATCTTATTTGTAACAGCAATCTAATGTTGCAAAAACGTTATGCCGATATAAAATTAATCGTATAACATACGATATTGGGCCAATTCTGTATACAGCGTTGTTTACAAAATTGGCCTAAAGTTATATATATAACATTGTGCCAAGGTTGAGTAAATGTTGTATACAACATTGGGCCATTGTTGTACACAACGTTGGGCCAATACCTAACCAATGATTAAACCTGCATTGAGCCAACATCAACTTTCAACGCTGGTCCAATGTTGGTCCAACCTAAGCTTGCTGTCTGGGTTATATATATATATATATATATATATATATATATATAATATATATATATATATATATATATATATATATATATATATATATATATATATATAGGTATTGTAAAAATTATGCACTGTAAAGTTTTGTTGCTTAAAGCATATTTAAACTAGCATAAAATAAAAGGAAATGATGATATTGCGCAGTTTTTTGTTTTTTAATTATTTGTTAATGTATACTTGTACAAGTTTTATGCTATTTGTTACAGTTAGAGTATTTCATCAATTACTTGTATAAAAATAAATATTAAAAGCTTAATCACTATGCTTAAATATTTGAGTTTATAAAATACACCCTTTGTCGTTTAAAAATATTTACATTGTAAGTAATTTCAATATTTCAATAAGATTTAAACTGTGAATACTCTTCCACGCAAAATATTAAAAGGCATTCAAATAAGTTAAATATGTTACTACAGCAATAAGATTTTGAATATATACTTATTTACATTTAATTGATGAAATAATAACCTGTTTTCATAAAATTACGAAACCAGAAAAGTTGTGCAAAAAAAAGATATTTTTGGCTTTCCAATAGTCTTTGTTTTACAATATGAATAATTGAAAACTTTAATATATCATAAATTATGAGCTTTTTTTTAAATATGTACATATATTTACTTAAATATATATAAATACATAGATATATACAGGGGCGGATCTAGCATTTTAAATGGGTGATGCGAAATTTTTTTATTGACGTCCCCCCCCCCCCCGCAACTTTTCTAGGGTTTAAGTATAGTCAATATAAAAAGTGGAGAAACATTAAAAGGCGTAGCGAGGGTGGGGAAGACACGCCCCAGGCAGCTTTTTTTACGAGTGGCGTCGCTGTTTATATCATTGAATAATAACTAAATTTAGTATTGCTTTTGCAGTATACATTTTTAGCAGAAATTTTTACCAATGTTGCCTTGGCTATTTTGTTCATAAATTAGACATGTAATTTTAAGTCTAATTTACTTAACAAAGTGCACCAACGAGAAGGTAAGCCATAGGACTTTGCACTTCATCTGTATACTGTCATTTTGCCCAAGGTTAGCCCTCCATTTCTGGATACTTTCCTTTTATTGAGAGGCACGTAGTGTAAAGTAATGTTGCCTAAGGTTGGCCCTCCACTTCTGGATTCTTTCCTTTTCTTGATAGGCACGTTATGTAAAGTAATGTTGCCTAAGGTTAGCCCTCCATTTCTGGATTCTTTCCTTTTCTTGATAGGCACGTCATGTAAAGTGATATTATGTTATTTATTAAGGTTAAGTAATATTAGGTTAAGTAACTAGAAATATAATATTAAAGGTTAGTCCTCCATTTCTGGATTTTATCTTTATTTTATTTTATCTTATTAATCTTATATTATGTTATATTATTAATCTTGCCTAAGGTTAGCCCTCCATATCTGGATTCTTTTTTTTTTTAATTTTAAACTGTTTTTTGTTATAATAATTTTTGTTATATTTTTTTATTTAAGTTCTATATTTTAAATATATATATATATATATATATATATATATATATATATATATATATATATATATATATATATATATATATATATATATATATATATATATATATATATATATATATAATAATACACATAATTAATTTTATATTACATATATAATTAATATACATATAATATATATATATATAATATATATATATGCATATATATATATATATATATATATATATATATATATATATATATATATATACATATATATATATATATATGTATATATATATATATATATATATACATATATATATATATATATATATATGCACACACACACACACACACACACACACACACACACACACACAATATTAGTAAAAATCAAATTAGAAAAAAGTAAAATAAAAGTCAGTACACTACTAAATAAAAGCTAAGTCTAAGCGTCTTTCACCTGACTTTGAAAAAATGTCAATAACTCTTTCAACATCTGGAAAAATTTCTTGATGTATGGACATTAATGCTAAAGAGTTAAAGCGAGACTCAATCATATTACTTCTGGAGTATGTTTTTAGCCTACGTATAACTGAAATACTTCTTTCACATTCACAAGTTGTTATTGGAATTGTTCCTAAAATTATAAACGCTGTCCTTATATTTGGAAAACCTCTCATGTCAATGGACTTTAAAGTACCAGCAACAGTTGAAGGAATACTTGACTGGTTTTTCCAAAATAATTCCCATAAATCTAACTCAGCATGTATTGAAGTAAAATGAGGCATATCAGATGAATAGAAATTTAAAAATTCATAAAAATCAGATTTCCATGGTTTTTTAACTTGTATTCTGGATAGTACAGTTGAAGGAACTGCTGCTAGACCTTTATAAACAAACATGCCATTTTCTGGAAACCTATTATCTAGCTCATTAATAAGATGTTCAATTAATGGAGAAGTAATGCTATGTTTAAAATAGTCACAAACTGTATTTGTTGGATAATTATCCCGGTAAACCTGGACATTACACAATCTAGGTCTTACTTCTTGTATATCAAGAGTTTTGGCCAAACTAAGAGCGATAGCGTACCATTCAGTGTGATATATATCAATTTTATTTTTAATTTCTAATAACAGATTTTTTAGATTAGTTATTTCAAAACACTGCTGGGATATGTCAAAAGATTTAGTTTGAAGAGTTACAGTAATTGCATAAAAAAAATCCATTAATTGTTTTGTAATAACTAAACTTACAATAAAAGAGAAATCTGTTAATAATCTTAAAAAAGTAGAGGATTTGGAAGCAGTTTCACTGTTATATTCCTTTGACTCATTTAACCCCATCTCCTCTAAAGCATGAATAATAGGTATAAAATTATCAAAAAAAACATCAACACCTCTCAGCTTTTGAACCCATCTTGTTCGACAAGTATCTATTATTTTTTCTTGATTTGGACTTAAATATTTTTTGAGACAGTTACTACGTTTAGGAGATAAGTTAAAAAAATAAGAAATTTCTTTTACTTGGCCAAGAAGATTTTTTACTTTTTGAACTTGGCATGCAGCTGCTACTACTAAACTAAGTCTATGGCTTGCACAATGAACAAATATAGCTTTATGATTAAGAGCTTTTATTCGAGAAGCAACTCCTTTATACTCACCTGCCATACAACCTGCACCGTCATACCCTTGGCCTCTACAATTTTGAATATCAAGCCCAAACTCTTGAAGTGCATTAAGTACATTTAGAGATAGACTAAGACCAGATGTACCCGTCTTGCAATCAATAAATCTTAAGAAATCCTCGCAAATCTCATTATTTGAATTTACATACCTTAAAACAAGTGACATTTGTTCAGTATTTGAACAGTCAACTGCTTCATCACAAAGAATTGAAAAAAAAATTGAATGCTTGACATTTTTTAATAAAACTTCCTCAATTGCTTTCCCACAAGAATCAATAAGTTGGTTTTGGGTAGTTTTTGATATATAGGTTGCATTTTTTGGACTTGAAGAAAGATGATTAGCTAATACTTGATCACCAGCATCAACACGGAAATTTAAAATCTCTATGAAGTTACCAACTCCAACTTTTTGTGTAGAAGATTCCCCAATATCAGGATGATATTTGCTATCATCACGATGTCAACGAAATGCTAGATCGTTTCTACCAAGAAATATTATTGTTTTAATTATTGGAACTAATTTTTTTCGGTTATCAGAAAGAAGTTTCAAACGAGAATTATTTAAATCAACCTCAATAACATTACTTTTGGAATTGCAACGTGAAAGCAATGCATTAAATGAAAGCATAGATTTTTTATGTAAAACACAATTTTCCTCATGTTTTCTATAATCA